TTTTTTTCTCCTTTCTCTTCAGCCTGACCTTTGATGGTGTGAATTTGTTCTTGGAAGCTGAGCATTACTGGAGCTTTGACGTAACAGGAATTGTATCTTTTAGCATACAGTTTTGTTTTGTTTTGCCCCTTATTTATTTATTTATTCTTGCAGAGAAAATGAAGAGTTTATGTATTTTCCTTGCTGTCCTGTTCGTCCCATGGAGTTTTGTGTTGGCAAAGTACGATGAATTTGAGGATGGAGATGACATCATGGAGTACGACGATAATGACTTTGCTGAATTTGAAGATGTTGCTGAAGATGCAATCACGGAGTCTCCTCAGAGGATCATCACTACAGAAGACGATGAAGAAGAAGCCACTGTAGAACTTGAAGGCCAGGATGAGAATCAGGAAGACTTTGATGATGCAGATGCACAGGTAATGCTTGGTTTCTTTAGTGTATCTCTATACTTTTTTTATTATTATTATTTATTGACAGACTTTGGCTTTTCATGCTGCTTGTGCTTTTTATCCTTTAGGAAGGAGATGCGGAGAGTGAACCATATGATGATGAGGAATTTGAAGGTTATGAAGAGAAACCAGACTCATCTCCTAGCAAGAGTAAAGACCCCATAACTATAGTTAATGTAGGTATAGATTTTTGATCTGCTCTGCTCATACTTCATCACTTGTTTGTTTATGGCAGTATGCCGGCATGATGGCTGTTTTACATACAGTAAGAGATGACTTTTGCTGAAGAACTTGCTATTTGAATTATGTACGTTGCTAGAACTCCCATCTCTGGATCAATGCTGTCCTCTGCTCAAATTGAGAACTGTTGATTGGAATACAGATCGGGAAATACTTGGCTAGGAAAGCCAAATGCAATATAAGGACTTAGCTCTGTCCTGTGGCCTTTGAGAAGCTTGCTGCTGTATTTGGGATGAAGCCTCTTCAACATTCCATGTTTTCTAAATTGCTTGTGCGCAGGGAATGTCCTCATTTAATACTGACAAAACAAACTCCATTCACTTAATGACAGGTCCCTGCTCACCTTCAAAACAGCTGGGAGAGTTATTACATGGAGATCCTGATGGTAACAGGTCTTCTTGCTTACATCATGAATTACATCATTGGGAAGAACAAGAACAACCGTCTGGCTCAGGCATGGTTCAATACTCACAGGGAGCTGCTAGAAAGCAACTTCGCTCTTGTTGGTAAGTTCCATAATGCCTAAGCTCCGCTTAGCTTATTTGAACTGGTTTTAAATCGTTGTGTAGCCTATAAAGCCTAATGCCTTTACATGCAAGTTCATGTTGATACTAATGATAGCTCTGCACGTAGATAAATAATATGCAATTTTCGAATGCTGAAAGAAGATTATGATGTTGTGGCACAAGCTGTTCAGAAGCCTCTTCGTGATACTGAAGTAATCTGGAAACAACTGAATTCTACTTTGCTATTTAAATATGTGATTGTTAGACTGCATTTTCCTTTTGCTTTCTTTAGGGGATGATGGCACTAATAAAGAAGCAACAAGCACTGGGAAACTAAATCAAGAAAATGAGCACATATATAACTTATGGTGCTCTGGCAGGGTGTGCTGTGAAGGAATGCTTATCCAGCTAAAGGTAAGGATGAGAGTGTGTAGCACTGTTTACCTCTGGCCAGTATTCACGTTCCTTCATACCAAACATCTGTATGGCCCAGTGTTCTGCCACTAGAAGTGGGTAATAGTGAATGCTTAGGGAATGAATATAGAAAACAGGAGAAGAGACCCCATTTTTCCTTAATCCCCCTTTCTACATGCTATGAAGTGTTGTATTTCAAGTATATTAAGCAATCTTTTTCCGTGCTTATAAATTTGTGTTCTTAGTTTCTCAAGAGACAAGACCTACTGAATGTTCTTGCTCGCATGATGAGGCCAGCTTGTGACCAAGTGGTACGTACTCAGCTAAACTCTTGCGTATCTGCAGTTCTGCCCTGCTGCTTTTGATTGTTTTGACTGATGTCTTTCTGCCCTATGCCACATCTTCCAGTTCTGTAGCTGTTGTAATAATCTGCATGAATTCCTTATTTCTTTTTTTCTCCAAAATGCAAACTGATGACTAGTAAATTGTTAACATTATCTATGTGTCTTATTGTTGAAGTGCTCTTGTGAACAGCGATGCATGCACTGTGAATGCTTTTTCCATATTTCCATAAAAATATTTAAATTAGGGGCAGGCAGACACTCACAAAAAGTGGATGCAAACGAGCATTACAACTGCTCTTCCATTCACTGTTGTTATGATGTAGCGTTATACTGGAAGGCTGAATTGAGTCCTCAGAAAATTAAAAAGCCAATTTATGTTTTTAAGATGCACTAAATTTCAAACTTAATTTTTAGCTCTGTAGTGCTCACGTGGGCTTTGTTCTTTGTGGTTATGAAAGATGAATGAAAACTTCAAACAAACTTTGAGGTAGCAGAAGCACTTTCCTTGTAGGAGACCCAGGTCTCTACTTGGTCAGTAGTCTGAAGGCAGAGTTCATCCTATAAAGCTGATCAAGGCTAATCATATTTTATTATACAGCAAATAAAAGTAACAATGAATGATGAGGATATGGACACCTACGTGTTTGCTGTTGGAACAAGAAAAGCACTGGTGCGACTTCAGAAAGAGATGCAGGACCTGGTACGTGTGTTCAAATTGGAATAATAGGAAAATGAATAATGAAGTACAAGAACCTCTCATCTCTGGCTTGTGTTGCTGGGAACAGCTGAGAACTTGAGTGACGTGGTAGAATTAGTCTGGGGGGAAAAGATATTTTCACCTAGTGAATGAA